TTTTAAAGCAAGCCCTGCTTGGTTCCACGTGGCCAGGAGCACCTTTCTAGCAGTGGAGAGAACCATTTACACATGCCAAAACTCTACCTTTAACCTCAGCTTCCACTGAAGTCAGAGAGCACATCCTGGCCCAGAGAGAAATAATCAAAGACAGAAAAAAAAGTATCACAATTCAAGCATCGTAACAGAGTGTTTGGGCCACTACAAAACTTCAGTACATTCCCACACATACACTGGGTATTCTTACTTCAACTGCCACTACTTGAACTGAAATCTTAGCAGGAAACCCAAAAGAGCCAACGCAGCCAGGTTGAAGCAGGGTGGTGATCCAGGAGTAGCAAACAGTCTTTTTCCAAAGACATCATGTTAACAAGTTCTATGTCATAACTCCATTTCAGAGCAAAAGCCTATTTTAAGGAAGCATGAGCAGCAAAACCTGCAGAAGCTCAATCTCTGAGCATTACATACCACACAAAAACATTTTAGCGAGTCTGAATGGAGACAGTGAACAGAAAAGCTACAGCAGCATTGCCCAGAAATTCTAAGTAGCCACAGCCAGCAATCCCAACCATTGGCACCAGGTAACACAGCCAGTGGGGACTTTTCTCCTCAACTTTCTCCAAGTACTTTCTTTCATCAGTTGTCCAGGTTCACCTCTTCTTCCTAAGGTGCTACCACTACCCCCAGGTTAGGGCTTTGATGGGTCAGAGAAAGGTCAAAGGATTCTGCAAAGAATTCAAAGACAAGGCAGTGAGCTTTCCTCATTCCTACCAGGTATTCCAGACCTCAATCCTCACGTCTGCACAGCTGTCCAAAGGTCCAGCAGCGCTGCATACCCATGAAAATTATTTCACTGCCTTCCAAGACATCCTACCACTTATGCCTCCTGCCCGTTACTTGTCTTTCAGTAAATGTCTGTATTTTCCTGCATTTAATAAATCCGACTTGGATAAAATCCAAGAATGTTTCCAGTATTTTTCTATTGCTGGCTGAGGGCACAGTAGTTTTTGCCCCTCTCATCTTGAGAGCCCACTTAGAATTTACAAGTACTCATCAACCTTTAAAACAAAAACCAGCCCTGTACCTTTCACAATCCAGTGAGAAAAATTAATCTCAGAATTTTTTAAGACAGACTTGAAGAAAAATTATAAGTACTGTTAAAAAACCCCAAACTATTCTCTTACTGTGGAAATTTAACTTTTCTGCCACACAAATACAACGTAACCACGAATTCCCTAAGCCACGTGCTCTGTGTTTTCCCAAACAGATGCTCATTCACGAGAGTGGTTTAAACAAAGGAGATAAGGTTACAGTAATCTCAAGATAAAAACGTAACAACTTCACTGTTTACTACTAAGTTCCACTAATAACCAGAAGTGCCACGTGCTGCAGATGGATATGAAAAGAAGGGACCTGCATCCAAGGGCTTGCTGTCCAAGAACACTAATTTCCTAAGGAACGAAGTCTGTTCTGGTGGAAGCTGCTTCCCAGCAGGCACGTTCACAGACGTGGCAGCACAGGGATTCAGTAATACCACACAGCAAGGTGCTGCACACCTTCCCAGGTGGATAAAGCTCTGGATAAAGCCCCTGTCTGCTCAGACGAGTTCACAGCCCCGCCTGCCCCCCTGCTCATCCCTGGCACGCAGCACTGCGAGCACGCAAGTCGCACAAAACTCTGTCCTAGGAAATGTTGGGTGCAAGGTATTTTAATTTTCAGTGGCTGCATTTCCACAGAAGAGCTGTGGATGGCAACAAATTGCTTCTATTATGCAAATGAAACTGCACACTTGGAAATTGCCGATGTGGCTCTTCTGAAGATGCAGGAATTGCCAGTGTGGAAAGTTCAATTTAACAAGCCAAGTCTTCTCAAAGCACTGAAACCACAAAACACAGAATCTCTCTTGCTAATTTCCCACTGTACTTGACTGCAGGTGTAGAGGGAGAATCATGGAATTCACCTTCAAATTATGATTCCTTTAAAAATAAGGAAATTGGTTTATGTAAATACTTGTGGGGCGCACACACAAAAAGCCATATCAATACTTCTGACAATAACCAACAGAAACATTGCATGATTCCACACAGGAACCCTTTAAAGCAAGTTGTCTCTCACGAGGGTTAACATGTAGAAAAACCTATTTATACCGTAAGATTTCTGTTTCACAGAGAGAGCCATAGCAACTGACATGATGGTAGAGAGCCCTTGCCAAGAAAAAATAAATAAACGAGGTATTTTGTTGAATGGCCAAGCTGCTGTCTGCATTGCCCTCTGAATTCTGCAAACTAGGATTCAAAGGGAGCGTGCTGTGCTCATGAATGAAATACCTACAGACAAAACAGTCCCACACACCCAACCACGCTCCTGTTGGAACAAAAGTCCTGTCACACCGCTGGACATTGTTCTGACCCTCCAAAGCTGGCCCAGCCGTCAGCAAACTGCACTTAAAACACCACCCGAGTAGAAGAGAGTTCCTGAAAGCACCCGGGCTGTTCTGGCTCCCCACACAATGGCTGGATTCTTTGAAATCCACATCTCGTGCCCGGCGTTATTGGACACACGTCCCGATTCTTTGTCTGGCTCACGCCAACGGGCCCGTTCCCGTGCTCAAGGCCATTTAAAGCTCAAACAATCCATTTCACCCCAATAACGAACACATTCAATTCTGTATTTCCCCCTCTTCTTTTAACGCAAACAAAGCGTGAGCCGAGGATTGCAATAGAAGCGTCCCCTGATTTCACCAGGTACAAACCAGCTGAGTGATGCAGATCAACACTAACCCAAGGGGTTTCCCCGTGGATTCCGTATGTTTACAGAAAGTATTTTAAGGTACACACGCACAAAAACTACCGAACAGTCACAACTTGCTGGAAGAGGGATTCACTCTTGAGTCACACTGGCACTGCTCTTTATCCCATCCCAGGTCCCCGCACCGACCGTGCACAACACGGCAGCGACCGCTTCGCTGTATTGTCTCAACACCTCGTGAGGGTTTTTCTAACAAAAGCCGAAAAAAAAAGAGACAAAAGCGGGAAAAGGCCAAAACACGCCGAAGGCCTAACAAAAAGGACTTATTCGGTCGGGGTATAACCTTTCATTACACGATTTAAGGGGGGTTCCAGGGGCAGTTTCGCGCTCTCTCCCGGAGCGCCGGTGGGAGACGATCGCGCTCGGCTTTGCTGCGCTTTTACGCGCAAACCTCGGGAACTTGAGAGGTAAAATAAATAAACAAACAGGCAGCGACAAAAAAAGAAAATAAACTCTCGGGAGCTTTACGGGGGTATTTTTAACATGTTTTGTGGGGCTTTTTTTCTTCCCAGAACACTTCTTGGAGCGCTCTTTCCCCCCGGCGCGGGCGGCGGGGCAGCCCCGGGCCCGCTCCCCGGGCCCTTTGTCGGGGCAGGCGGCGGGAGGTGCCGGGCCCGACTCTCCGCCCGCCCGTGGCCGTGGCGCCCGGCCCGGGACACCGCGGGGTGTGCGATGGGCCGGGGGTGCGGGGGGCGGCGGGGGGCGGCGGGGGAGGGGGTTCGGCCGCACAATGGAGCCGCCTCTCGCCCTCACACGCGCCGCCGCCGCCGCCGCGCCGTTCATGTGACTCGCGAAGGAGCGAAATGGCTGCTGGGTGCCGCCGGCTCCCCGCCCCCGCGGCCGCCGCCGAGCCCCGGCCCGCGCGGGGCCGGCGCGGGGCGCGGGGAGGCGCGGGGGGACGCGGGCGCGGGGGTCCCGGCGCGGCGCGGCCCCCGCTCACTCATTTGCGCACTTTCTCGATGGCCGCCATCACCCGCTTGATATCATCCTTCGCCCGGCTCCGGGTCTCGGCCCGCACCGACCGGCCCGACATGCTGCTGGGGGAGGGGGGGGGGCGGCGGCTCGGCGGGGAACGCGGCGCTCGGCGCGGCCGGCGGCTGCGGTGCGTGTGTCGGGGCGCCCGCCGCACAATGCCGGCGCTGCCGCGGGGCTCGGCGCGGCTGCGCTCGGCGGCTCCGCTCGGCTCCGCCGCCGCCTGCCCGGCGGGGCCGCGCACCCGCGCACGCGCGGCGCCGACAGCGAAGGAGCGGGGCGGGGGGGGCGGCGGCCGCCGTGAGGCAGGGCGGGTGGCGGGAGGGGGTCAGGGGTGTGAGGGACCGATCGCGGGCTGCCCTCGGGGCTGAGGGGACGCCGCGGCCTCAAAGAGCCGTCCCCAGCGGGGACCGGCGGAGGAGGTGCCCCGGCGGAAAGGAGCCCGCGCGGGCGGGAGTCCGGAGGCGGCCGCCGGCCCCGCGCGCGCGGCGCTTCCAGAGCTCCCGTTGCTGGTTTTTAACTCCACGCTGTTCCCTTGGAGCGCAAGGCAACGCTCCTTCCCCGCCTCCACCGTGCTCAGGCCGTAACTTATCTCAGAATTTAAAAGTTTGTCCAATTTCAGGTCACCTCAACACATCAAGGGTGGTTGGATACTGGGACGGGCTGCCCAGGGAGGTGGTGGAATCACCGCCCCTGGAGGTGTTTAATCCAAGGCTCGACGTGGTACTCGATGATGCGGTCTGGTTGACTAAGATCGGTCACAGGTTGGACTCGACGATCTCAGAGGTCTTTTCCAACCTGATGGAGTCTGTGATAAACCAGTGCAGTCTAACAGCATCCTGGGCAAAACTAAATTTTATTGCCAAGCAGAACTGGAGGGGCTTTTAGAAAGCTCAAAGCACTTGACATAGAAATAATACCTATTTTTGTGCAGGGCAGCCCCGGGGCTCTGTGTGTGACAGACACACATCCCGCCCTTGTGCCAGTTGCTGTGGCAGACCCCAGAGCGCAGGGATGGGCGATGTGCTCTGTTAGCAAAATATCCCTCCTTAAATGGGATAAATAAATCATAATAATAACATAAACCTGTAAGAAGCACATTTTGGTTTTTTCCCCCAGTTGTCATAACGTTTCTCATCTGCCTTAAATAATTCCAATGATTTTTGTGGAATTAGACTGCTTTTAAGCAGTGGAGGATCAGCTCCAACACAGATCCATGGAAGTACATGAAGGGTAAAGGGGCAGAGTTACATGTGAGGTGATGCTCTGCAGGACGTTTGTCACAGACCTGCGTTCTCTGGTCCTGTTACTGCTGGACTCCCTCATTAACTTCCCCCTAGTGCACACCTTGCTGCTCTTGCTAATTGTACAATCACAGATGTTCTCAGTACACAACAGCGATCTCTGTTTAAAAAACATTGCCTCTGAAAGGAACGCTTCTTAAGGGCCTACATTATTATTCAAATTGATGCCGAGGATGATGTAAAGAAGGAAGCCGTGTTCAACAGCACTTCACTGATCTTTCTACAGCAACTTGTATCAGCCTCATTATGCTGTTTATACACACACAGTGCGATGCCGTCCCATTGGTATTACACTACTAATTGGAATTACTACTTTCAGAAAGAAAAAGTCAGTTTTAAAGGCCAAAAGGGAAACCTGATTTTAATGTACATCACAGCGTTCCTTTCTTTACCGGGGTCTGTTGGATTTATAATTACAAATCCATTCTAACCCGTCCAAGCATTTATCAATGTATTTAATCAATACAGTACTTTTACATCGCTCTTCTGCTGTCAGGTTTCACAAATGAATACTGTCTTAACATAATGAAAATAGACTGCATCTGGCATAAACCCACCTGAAATAAATTCTAGGAAGGCTCCAGCCAAGGCTGGGGTGGCCACCTGCTTCATTCTACAGCCACCCCAGTGTTTCCCTACATAGGTGGGAAATTACAGGTTTGTGGCGTGTGCTAAACTGGGGGTTTATTCTAGAGTTTGACTGAAATGCAACTATGCGACCTTTACTTTCTAATAAACATAAAACACAAATTTTGCAGATATTTGAGGAGAGGAGTCTGGAAAGAAGGAACGAACAGAAAACCTTGTGGCAGCTGTGATTCCGAGTCTTTGTAGATCAGAGGTTCGCCTCTTTCCTTCCGTTCTTTTTTTCTTGTGCAGCAATAGGTAAGCCAAGAATGTCAGCAGCAAATATCTCTGCTGTGATTTCTTCTGGAATTTCTTCTTCAATCAAAGCTGCTGCACCTGGAGAGCAGTAGCAACACCACAAGACACACAGTAGTGATATAAAAATGGCTTTCCAGGTCAGTAAAATTTGTAAGTGAAGTAACCATAAAAAAGTGATGGTTTACTTGCTTAACATTTTATGTATTTATATCAGGAACCTGTCGAATCTGCAAGTCTCACCTTGCAGCAAGTCCCTGCCTGAGAGGGGTCATGGGACAACTTTTACACTCCAGCAATTTAATGTGATTTTAGGACCTTAAGGAATCCAGGGATTTCGAAGTTGCTTTGCAGCACCAGGCAGTTCTCTTTGGGAGCTGCACCTTTGCTCTGTGCTGCCCATTCCAATGACCCTAAACAGATGCTATTCCAAACTGGTGGGGACTGGGACACAAATCATATGAAAATATGGTTCCAACTACAATGGGCAATTAAATACAGCCACTTGGCTGAAATAGATGCTGTAATTTGCTGTTCCAGACTGGTGTGGACTGGGACATAAATTGCAGACAAATGCAGTCGTTACCAACAGCTCTGTTACAATGGGCACTGCTGCCTGGGTGAAACCAGCTCTGGGATTTCCCTGTGTGTTTCTAATTTCAGTTCCAGCCAGCAGATAAACAGCAATGTAATCTTGTCAGGCCCCAGTTATAGTTCATTGTCCATTTATTTTTAGATACACCCGTGTGATTGCTGCGTGGATGAAGGACAATCTGTAGCTCTGTGACTATTTTTGCAATCCTGTCTGAGCAGTTTTGACAGCTCTCTTGGCCTAACAGGGTAAATGGGTTTGAAATTTAAATTGTTCCATTTGGGAATTGAAGCAATCCTGCTTCTGTGCTGTGTGGAATGCTAATCCTGTACCTGAGGGATCGTGGATGTCTGGTTCAGATCCTCGTCTCCCAGGTCGCCTGCCCAGCAGGGTGGTCAGACACTGGGCCAGCTCATCCTCGGTCATCTGCTCTCCTGTACACAACAGAGCAAGGCCAGCCCATGGGTTATGGGGTCGAGAGCACAAAAACTAGAAAGGAATTTGAACGGGAACAGTGCACAAACAGAACAGGACAGTTCAAAAGGAGATTCGGCCTCTCTGTTGCATTTTGGGGGAAAATGTTAATCAAAGGGAGAAATTCTGATGCAGACAGCTCTTTAGGCTATATTGCACTTTAGGCTATATTGCTTGAGCTTCTATTCCCGCTGGAGAATTCCTGGTAGAGACCACAGTCTGTGTAGCCATTTTCACATAGAGGAGGAAGAGAAAGGTGGAGAAGTCTTGATTTAGTATCTTGGAATAATGTGGACATGGCACTTGTTCCCAGTTAGCGTTTGGCTCATGCCCTGAAGCATGAGGTTATAGATCTGTTATGAAACTGTTCTATCTCATGTATCTATTTATGGATGTTCACACCATCCATATAAATAACTAACCTTTCTCACACTGGTTGAATCCTTGGTTTCCAAGGATCTTTGTGTCGAGGAGTCTTACCAGGTGATGTACTGAGTCAACCAGCATTTCCCTTTACCTGTTTTAATGCTCAACTGCACTTTTACACCAGGAGTAAGACAATAAAAGTTTGTTATTTACCACTCTATGGCACTGGCCACAGTTATATTAACACACACATTTACAATGTTCTTCCTGATTCAGCTCAACTAAACCATCACATCTTTTCAGTCTTTCACACAGATTCAGTTCAGGACTGACTAATTTCATCCCTCTTTTCTTGTGCCCTTTTTATCAGTTTTATACTACCTTGCCAAAGCCTGCTGGACTGTAACAGAGAACAGTGATTCAGATAAGGGCATACTGGAAGAAGGATACATTTTACCAAGATCCATACTCATCATTTGACAGCCAAGATACTTCAGGCCAGCAGAGATTTCCAGAGCAGTAAAAGAAGAGCAGCTGAGACAATAGATGTGATTATTCAATTTAAAATCTTAAAACAAGCGGCTCCCCACGCCTGCCCTGCTTACCAAACTATAGTTCCAGATTAATTTTTTGCTGCAGTGAATAAGTTCTGAAATTGCAGGCAGAACTAGCAAGCATAAAACTAATATTAGAAGCGAAATAACTCACCTCTGCACTGAAGCAGAGACAGTAAGTCTCCTCTGTCAATAACTTTGTCTCCCTTCTCGTTATCATAACCAAGAACCTGAAACGCTCGTTGTAGGCTTTTCATCGACAAGCCAAGCGCAGGTCGATGATTTATATAAAGTTTGATAAAATCCTCCAAATTGATTTCTGTCACTTGTTCTCCACCATCCATGCACTTGCTGAATTTTACCTCATTTATCATTTCTTCAATCTAAAGATCAAGACAAGACAGATTGTTACACATTTTTTGCAGAGCATCGGGCCAGTTTCCGATCTGGTGAATGCCGACATTCCATAACCGTGCACATACTGGTACCACAGTGGGGATCCCAGTGGGAAGCTGCACTCGGCAGCTGAGGATGGGCACGGCCAACAGTTACACACTTGCTGACATGATGACATAAGGTGAAGATGGGGGTAGCACACACGTTGTCATTTTGGATTTCCTCTCTCATGACGGGCACTCGGTGACTCTGCAGCTGTTACCGGCACCTTTGCCACAGCTGCGTCTCCACTCTGGGGACAGCGGGCAGGCAAACCACAAACTGGTAAACACACCATCCCTGCTGCAGGAGCACGTGCATGAGAGTCCCCACATAACCAGGCTGCACACCCTGGCTGGCACGAACAATCTTCCCCCCCTCTGACACGTGTCTGGTGAGGTTCTGCCACCGCACTAAGCCAAATCCAAACATGCTCAGTGTGGCTGACAGCCTGCGCTCTCCTCTCGGACAAACAGCAAGCACTGGCCATGCTGGGTGGTTTTACTGAAGTCTGGTGCTGTGAGTCAGCCCTGCTGGCAGCTGTGCAGATGTGTGTCCAAAAGGCAGCATCTGCTCCATGCCCTCATTGTACTCGCAGCCCCTTCGGAGGTACAGGGGCAGCAGAGAAACGCCGGGAGAATTCCCCGTGCCAACACGTACCAAGCCTGCTGCTCCCCGGGAAGAGAGGCTGATGCAAGATCTCCCCAGGGAGGACTCTGCATTCAGCCTTGGGCCTTTGTCCTTGTGTCACAAGTTTTTCCACTGAATGAAGCCTGGGGAAGAGGGAAATCTCAGCCTCATATTTTTCTTGTAGCGAATGTCACGCCAAGCAAGAACAGTCATTTTCACTCAGCTCTGGCTGAGCTGGGATTAGGTTTTATATCAATCCCACTGAACTACAAAAGAAAAACACCAATTCCCAAAAGCTTTGCTAGTCAGTCCAAGCTGCCTTTTCTCCCTCCTGCTTTTCCTATATTAAAGCACTCCAGAGAGACGAACTTTCTGGATTTTATTACTGTCCTGCCTGCCTCGAGGAGCAGATTGTAGGTTGCCTGGTTTCACAACAGCTTAGCACCTCTGTTTCCATGCCTGAAACGCTGTTTATATTTTAATTTGGGGTGGGAGGCGGGGAGGGGTTATCAATTATTCTTTCAGAGACATGTCCCAGGGGACTATATTCTCCTTGTCCCCAAGAGGCAAAAATGTAATAACCCAAGGAAAAGCTCTAACACAGTATGAGGGGATAATGCCACAGCTTGACACCAGGGCAAAGCAGCCCTGGCTCAGACAAACATTTGCTGGTTGTGGGGGCTCCAAAGCACGTCTGTTAGATGGTAGCTGTGACAAAGGTCCTGCCTCCCATCTGCTGGCTCTCCTGGCAGAGCATCCCTGGGCAGATGGGGTGGCACTGACTCACAGCACCGTCTCAGCAGCCTGTGGGTTCATGTGCCATGGCAGAGATGAACAACCTCCCCTGTGGGCAGACGAAGGGAGCTCAGTGATGCACCACTGCCCTGGGGAGAGCCCCTCTGCAGTGACAGGGCTGTGGCTGGTGCAAAGAGGCCATTATTTAAATCTCCTTGCATCAGATTCAGTAATTTTTTTTGTACGTGCTTTAATTACCCTTTTGTCAGGTTACACATTACAAATGAGGTTTGTATACAATACAAACTGCCTTGGAGAAACAGCCACAAAAGGGGAAGGAACTGCACCCTTATTAAATCAGTTGTGTCTGTCTGCTGTTAAATGTGAAGCTAAAAAGCTCCTGAGAAATGTTTGATAGGAAGCTCTGCTGTTGCAACCTTAAAGGCAACCTCAGAGAGAGCTTCTGCAGGGTTTATCTGTTAGTGAAAGAACTTTACATTCCATGGGAGTAAACGCCACTGTCTCCATTTAAAATCATTCTTTCATCAGTCCCAAGCAGAACAAGAAAGAGAGGCTCTGTCAACGTCCAAATGAGTGACTGCATTGAGCTGGACATTCTCACCCACACTGGTAGCACATATAGGACATTCTGGTTGAGTCTCCATCCAACCTGGAGGGACTCAACCACATCCTACCAACCACATGCTGCTCAGCCACTAGTACAAGTCACAGAGGGACCAAAGCACTTTACCCATGGACACTGGAAGGTTGGAGGCTGCTGCCCTTGGGAGTCAAAGGAAGATTCATTTCCCTACTTTCACCTTCTGAAGAAACCCACCTCTGAAGTGGTGGCAGAGCCCCCAACCTCCAGAAGACCCTGAGGTTGTCCTGTTGAATGCTTCTGAACCATCAGGCTCCAGGTTTGCTCAGCCCCGGTGGTTTCCCAACTTGCTAGCAAGGAATCATTACTTTTTGAGGAATTTGCTGCCGGATTCTGACCACTACTGTATTGACACAGACCAGTTAAATACATTGAAAGCCAACAAATATACCCTGGAGCAATCCAACATGGCAGTGGTCAGAATATGGCCCTTGGGACACTTGGTAAATGCAATCAGTCTTGCTCTTTTTTCTTTTAATAACAACAATAAAAACAACTGACCAACCTCTTCCTCTGATGGATAAAATCCTATTGCTCTCATTACAGAAGGAATTTCCTCCAAGGGAATGTGCACTGACACCTGTCTGTTCTCCAGTGTATTCGTACCTTGGCTGCATATCTGTGCATAGTAAAAATAGTCTTCCAGTTCCTGCCAGGGATTCAAAAGAATACTGTGAAGATCAGTTAACAACAGGCGTGGAAGATAAGGCTCCTTTTAGGTTTTTCTAACAGGCATATCAATGGGATTGTTGTTGAAGGTGATCTGGACAAAAAATAAGGGAATGGCTGGCCTGTATAAATGAATCTTAAACTCCAACCAGCTGTGGCCAGACGGTGTTCACAGTGAGCATAATTACCCTGAAGAATTCGCCTTCTCTGCCACCATCCAGGAGGTTGTAGAATGGGATCATGTCCTCCCCACCCAGGAAAGCAGCAGCATCCAAGGCACTGGCAGAAGTAGAGAAAAGAAGGTACAGGAAGGGTTCATGTGAGGAGAGGTTTCACGGTTCCCTTTCTAGTCATTGTTCACATAGACTTTCAATAAATAAAATCCCTGGGCCTCAGAATTCAGGAAAGAAAAGCACTGCCTTGAACCATGTGCTATTTTATCATCAGCTGCACTTCTACAGCATATTTCATACACAGGTTTTACATACAATAGCACAGTGTGGGAATTAATTATTACTGAATGGTCCTCTTGTTTAGTGGAATGAGTACAGGGCTGGGAGCCAGGAGCTTTTCCATGGACTTGAACTTGGTGTCTGGCATTTAGCTTTTCTGCTTCCTTATAGAGACATTGAGGGAGATGAATTAGCTAGATCAGCATTTTGAACATGCAGAGAAGGCCGGGGCTTGGTGTTTGCAATAAACCACACAAACCCAAGCTCCCTGTTCCTTGATCTAACACATTTTTCCCCAGTAACTCAGTGCAATCCATTGCTCCACTTCCTGAGCTGTGGTGGGTGACGGTGTCGCAGGTGCAGTCGGCATTAGACTGAAAGCGCCTCAGTAGCCACCTCTTTGTTTCAATTTCATAGGCAGTTGGAGCCAAAAGAATCCCTTTGGCTTGTGCAGATGTAAAGAGAAACCAAGCCTGGAAGTGCAACCATGGCGTAGCATTGCCACATAATATACCCCACGCCTGGCAGCAGGGTTGCAGCTCTCACACACCTCGGCAGTGCTGCTTCCACTGGGGTTTTTTTGCAAGCTTCATGCTTTTTTCATAATTAAGTTATCTGGGTATTAAACACAGTGGAGATGCACAAGATGCCAGAAGCAGCAATAAAATGATAATTAGCTCATCAAGAACTTCGCTCAAAAAACAGATTACATAGAAATTCAATGTTGCCTGGACCCTGGCCAACCATTATAAAGAAGGATCATTTATATTCTATTGCCTTCCTTAAAATGTCGCTTATCCTGACCCCCGACTGCTTAAGCCACACAAAGTGGAAAAGAAAATAAATAAACCCATTGCTTTCCCAGCCAGGTTTCCTTTGTTCTGGCACATGAAGGTGAGCTGGCTCAGCACCCTTTGGGCTTTCCTCAGAGCGAGTGGTACCTGTAAGAAGTGTTTCATGCAGGACCAGCACATGTCCTAAGCACAAAGCTTTTGTCCTAGAAGGTGAGGGTTTCACAGGTGCACACCAAAAGGCAAACACAGGAGAGAGAGCTAAAAGCCAGCTCCCATGGGGTTGATTTGCCAGAAACCAGGAGACGTGCTCTGTGTTAGCAGAGTGATGTGCAGGATTTAAAAGAAACAAACCAGCACAGACTGACAGAGATCATGCCACACTATCCCAGCTCTGCCATGGACTAGGCTCCCTTTCCAGTCCCTGAAGTGTGAAGTCATTCCATGCTGGCCTGGAGCTTTCCTGTCATTCACAGCTCCTTTCTATGTCAGGTGTATCTCCTGGGCACCTGCAGCCACGCCCGCAAAGGGGAGCCCTCTGCCCTGCACAGGTGCTACAACGAGCAGCTTTCGTCCTGGACAGGCAAAGAAACCAAATCTGCCTTTGCTGCCATGTGGGAGCACACGTCTGGCACTACTGCTGAGGGGGCTGGCAGAGGAAAACTTGCAGAGAACGGGGGGAGAAGCCTGGCAGGGTTCATCGGGGATGTTCCGGGCCAGAGCCTGGAGATCCTTGTTTTTTAAAGCTGCCTTCACTCTTCCAGCCACCCCATTTACTGCAGCTCATTTATTCATGTAAGCAAAGCTTTATAGGATTAAGGTGGCTTGTCTAAATCCAGTCTTCAAATGCAGGGGGGATTTCCCAGCAAATGCCTATCCCATTTGGAGAGCAGACACATTTGTATGAGCAGTCACGCCGTGCACTCCTCCTGCAGCCAGTACTGCTGCTCTGGTCCTGGCCTAACCCTGACAGTCTCCCATCACACTGGCCAGGCCCTCACAAGGACCACAGAATCCTCTGCCCAACTTCTTACCATTTGGGTACCATTTCCCAGATTGGAATATTTTATATGTGTTATGTCCATCCCCTGCGAGGTTTGCTGGCTTAATCCCCACTATGACTATGCAGATGCATCACATGGAGGGGAACAAAACCCTCCAAAAATGTGTCCCTCCTGTTTTAGCTGACACCCCATACAGCTGCTTAGGGCCCAACAGGTCATTACAATGTAAGCTGACCCCACTGCCATTCCCCCATCCCCAGTGTCACATGTGCCCACCATGCTGAACTCTTACTAAGCTGTTGATGACCCCAGTGTCATGCCAGGTGTCTGGGAGCTGGCAGCCCACAGGACTGAGCAGAGATGCTGCCAGCCTTCACTCCTGCTCCCCTCAGCGAGTTGTGGGTCTCCTGCTTCCATGAGTGCTGGGGCCTGTCCTCCACCTCATGATCCCCCTTGCCAGATGCAGTTTGTTGGCCTGGTTGTGGGCATATGCTGTGGAAGGAGAGAGAAGCTGCAGGACTTTATCACCTGCCTCCAGAGGACCCATGTTCAAGAGAGCCCTGCAAAGAAACTCTCCATGACCAACCACTCTGCCTGCTTTAACTCCTCTGGACACAGACACCTGGCACAAAAACGGGACAAAAGCCCCATTTTCAGTGTAAATGCTGGAAAGCATTTGCTTCAACTGCGGAAAGTGACTCCTTTCTCCTTCCTGCCATACTCACCTTAGGTTGACTTTCCATTTCATAACAGTGCAGTCGCTCCCCCCCGCTGTAAAGATGTAACGCCCGTCATAGGAGCTGGCAAGGTCAGAGGCACCATCTGGGTGGCAAATGAAGGCTGAGGACTTGTGGGGGTTGCCATCAACAGGCAAAATCTGCAAGCCCACCTGTAAAGAGAGAGAGTGAGTCTGGGAGGGCTGGGGGTCCCACAGAAGGCCTGGGGCACTGCACACTGGGGCAGTGCTGCCTCCTCCTCCCAGGAGCTCGCTCAGCTCTCAGGCAGGACCAGCCTATACATGGTTTAACCTCCAGTGAAATTCCTGAAGGACTACCAGCTCTGCAAATGGTGGCTCTTGTACAGCTGGGGAAGGTGGGGCTCCATACCTTGTCCTTTGTAATGTACACCAGGTAGTACTGCTTGGGGTCTGCAGTGCTTGTTGCTGGGAGGATTTGTATCTTCTCCAATGGGGAGCCATAGGTTGGTCCCAGAAGGGTCTTTCTAAAGGCAAACAACATATTTATCCATTCTAGAGCTCACAAAGCATTTTCCTTCTCTAAACAGCTGCTGTGTGGAAGGATGGGTAGATATGGGAGGTGTGGGGGTGCAAAGGCTTTGTACTACTGGCTGAGAGAACAGGACAGGACAGGGTTCCTGGCTACAAGGGACCACACTGGGGCTCAGAAATTAATTTAGTGCTCAAGGATTATTGTGCTTTGCTTATCTGGACTCCTGTCTCTTTATCTGATGTTGAACAGTTGCGTCTCAAATCCAATGAGCAGACCAAGACCCATTTGAAGCCACAGCCTTACTAGATGACACAGTAGTGAACAGCAGAGTGGACACAACTGACCTAGGGGTCCCTAGAGTCATCCCAAGATCTGCATCACAGATGTACAAACACATTCTCATGGGTGGGAGTAGGGTGGTCATTAGACCCAGGAGAACACAGGGTCAGGATGGGGCTCCCGGGCAGCTGTAGGTCTGAATCAATTCTCTACCTGCACATTTTGGTTGTTGTGTTGAGGAGCTTCATTTTGTAGCAGTTGTTGGCAGTGAGGATAAAGGACTCGGTGCTGAGCTGTGGGTACCAGGCCAAGCACAGGGGCACAGCACTCTGCTCCACCCGGTCCCTGTGTGTGACCACCAGGTGGTCCTTGATGCTGCTGCTCAGGTCATATTCAACCTGGAGGGAAGAAAAGGAAACAACTCCCCTGTGGTCTGCCAGCACCCTGGACCTTGTGGATTAACTGGATTTAGCATCTCTTGGAGAAGCCTGCAGTAGCAGAGCCTCAGCCCTGAGATCAGGCTGAGAAACAACCTCCAGCAATCGAGCTGGTGGGGAGAGGGTTGGGAGCCACAGAACCACACACGGAGTCTCCCTTGATGTCCTTGTCCAGCTCTGCCACTTTAACCACAAATCTTTACTGCCCATTAGACTTTCACATCCACCCACCAGCTGCCGGTCCTCCCCGAGGCTCAGGAGCCTGGGCTCGTTGCTGCCTGACTGGACTCCAAAGAGGATGCTCCGGATGGGTTTGTAGTGGGAGTCCAGCCCTGCCAGGTGTTCCCAGCATCTGCGCCCCTCTTGCAGGACTTTCTTGTAAACGATCACTGAATATTTCTCATCCTGCAATGACAGCACAAAGGTCAACGAGCCACAATACCCACACTCATCCCCTGCTTCCTCTCTGGGCTTAGCTTGGCCCTTTCAGTTTTGAAGTCCCATGAGGAGGTTTAGAGTCACAGCCAGGATAAAACACTGGGCCAGACAGATTTGGGCAGCTGCTCCCAAGAGCAGCACCACAGCAGCACCACAGCAGTCCTCAGCCTGGCCAGAGCATCCGAGCCATCTCCTGCTGCGCTCACACAGAGGGGCAGTAAATTGAGTTCTGTGACTCCCCAGAAATCACAAGGAAGATGCTTCCCACTGCTGTGTCCTGGCATATGTGCAGGAAAGGAGAATCTTTTCTTTGAACAGATCGTCACCAGTTGCTACAATCTCTGTGCCAAATTGCCTCAACACTGCCTTGACACTGAGACATGGGATGGAGGGAGCAGCCCCCCTCACAGAGCACCAACCAGGAGGAAATCCCTGCTCCAGCCCTTCCTACAGATGGACACAGAGCTAAGACTTGTCACTAAAGTTAGCGATGGGACGCTGCCAGCAGCGGCTCTGCGGAGCAGCTGGGACTGGTGACGCTTTTACAGAGTGACTCTTTGAGCCAGGAAAAGCATTTCAGAGTCACGAAGCCCCGGGGGAGGCACAGCCCTCCGTGCCTTGCAGGACGGTCGGCAATTCCCAGTCCCTCCCAAAGCTGCAGGACGAGCAGCGCATGTAAATCACCGAGCGGAAAAAACAAGCTTACAGCGGTTGCGAGGTACTGGGAATTGTGAGAGAAGCTGATGTTAGTCACAGGACCCCGCGAGAACCGGAGTTCCTCGCAGCTGGACTGAAGGGAAATCGCATCGAGGATGTGAACGCTTCCATCAGTAAAACCAGCGGCCAGAAAATAACCTGGAAAACACGCCAGAAAACTCTCACGGCTCCACCGCTCCTCCCGGGAAGCCCAGTGCCTGGGAGGAGGTCACACAGGGAGGTCACGAGGCCAGGATACCTTCAGGGTCATAGGCTAAGCACTGGATGCCAGCCTCGGGGAATATCCTGCTAGCCAGGTACTCCGTGTGCCGGTAGTCCCACAGCTTCAGCAGCCCACAGAGACTCCCCACGGCCACCAGGGTCTGCTGCGGGTGACAGGCGATGGCACTCACAGCTTTCTTCGCCTCTTCCAGGACTTTTTCAAAGTTTGCGCTGTCTGTTGCAACATGGAACACAGTTGCATCAGAGGTTGAAAGGATAAAGTTCCTGTTTAGCGTGAGAGAAACAGAATTTGATGAATCAGACTCGCTGGCTCATGTCCCTCCAAGCTATATTACACATCAGTCTCTTTTTGCAACTTAGTTGGACGATCCCTCATGTTTTGTGATATGCAACATGCAAACCCTCCTTGACCTGGAGGGCAGGTGGCACTTTGTATTCACGACCTGGGAAATCGTCACAGGAAGATACTGGAGCCAGGTCCATTTTCTACTTGGCTGGGCAAGCCAGAAGATGAATGACATCTGGGGAGCTTTTGCTGTTTGCAAGTTGCTGGTGTGTGAGACAGACAAATGAGCAATTCAAGATACTCTGAATAGTCTTTTCACGTGTCTCCACGCCACCATTGTCAGTGGCTCCACATTGACCACCCTGCCACGGACAAGGTCAGAGGACAGTTTCAGTCCCACAGCACAGACAGGATGGTTCCTGTCTGCTCACCCAACACAGCAGAGAGGGTCTCGCTGTGGCACTGGGCATGTGTGAAGCAGAAATCTGAATAATTATGCACAAATATGTATAGTCTCAGTCTGGCTGAGGTCTGAGGGTCTGGACCCAGTTAAAGGGATAAGAGAGGACCACACAGAAATCCCAGACTGGTTTGGGTACAAAGGCACCTTAAAGTTCATCTCATTCTAACCCCCCTGGCACGGGTAGGGACACCTTCCACTAGACCATATCAAGCCTATATCCAACCTAACTCTGCCCTCTGTCAATATTAAGCCATTCCCCCCCTTGACCTGTCACTCCACATCCTTGTCCAAAGTCCCTCTCCAGCTCTCTTGGAGCCCTTGAGGTACTGGAAGGTGCTATAAGGTCTCCTTGGAGTCTTCTCCAGGCTGAATCCTGGAGTTGCATAGACAGAGGTGTGGCTGCACGAGTGGGGAAAAGCAGCCTCTTTGCCAGCTGGCCTGTGACAGCCATCACTTCATGCACATCTGGCCCAGGCACTGATGGACTCTGTGCCTCTTTTGTGCCTTAGCTGGGCTCTCCAGCCATTCCTGATCCCACCAGCCTGCTGAGACAAACAGGCTCAAGGTTTCCCCTTTGATTTTCTGCCTTTTGTGCTGCCCAGAGCAGCTGCAAGCGGCAGGAGCTGCAGCAGCAACCCAGGAGGAGGGATGAGACAACAGAGACCAGAGACAGGGAAACCAAACCATTCCCCAGGGCACTGCTCCAGGCTGGAGAGGAATCTGTCGCACATGGCTCTTTGGAAAACACGTGCGGCTGAGAAAAGACGTTGCCAGGAGAGCCTGAACGGGAGTGACAGACATATGGTTTGCAGGCTGGATGGAGCCACACAACAGCTTCATCTGGCCTGCAGACTCCCTGTAAATCCTCAGGCACAGCTACATCACACAGAGGGACAGAGAGGGGTTGGTGACCAGGCTGGGGCTGTCCCAAGCTCCTGTGTTGTTGAGGTGGTGCAACCCAGTGCTGGTGCCACTGTCCCAATCAGCTTGGCAAGCCATGATAAAATCCAACTGGATATAGCCATCCATGGGAGGGGCTTAAGGGGGGGATTAAGGGGCCCAGAGAGAGCTGGAGGCTCAGCATTAGCACTGCCTGGTGTGCCGGGGATGTGACAGAGAAGCTGATCATCACCCTGCCTGCACTGATGCCGTGTCTGTGCCAAGGCATCACATCAAGTTCAGAATTTAGGATGTGCTGGAGCCCCTCTGGAGTTTACAGCTGCTAGGAGATACCTGTGGTCTGCAGGCAGAGAGGGATGCCCAGGAGAGACCCCATGCTTCTCTCTGGTGGGCAGGTGGGACAAACACCCCAAATGGAAAAGAGGAATAAAGAAGCACGTTCCTTTCCATCCTGCCTCCCTGTCCATGTCCTGCCCAAAAGCCTGGGCACAGGGTTGAAACCTGCTCCAGAAAGGGTAGAAGCCCACAGGGCAGCTTTCACTGACCACCTCCCAAGCTGTTACAAACCACCTCCCCAGGTTCCACTGACACCTCCCCGGCTTTCAGCTTCAGGGCAAACACAGGAGAGGACCTGGGTTTGTAAAGAGGCACTCACCTGGTGAGGAAGGGCTGGCTTCTGGCTGGGAAGGCATCAGGAGGATCACAAAGGGTTGTGGAGAAGGAGAGGGACCGAATGGGACCCACTTTGCTGTGGCTGTAGAGGCTGAGCAGCCGGAGCTCCCCATCGTAGAATTTAATGTGCCCTTTCACATCACCTGTTACTATACAGCTGCAAGGAAGGGAAAGTTATTAACCAACACACTGATTGACAACTCCCAAATATTTCTTGCATAGCACCCTCAGGCAGAAGGAAATCTCTTCCCCATTTCTCGGCACAAGGACACGAGGGGGAAAGCCCAGGGCTGTACAGAAACCAGCGTCTCTGCTGCGACCCTGTGGTGTCCCTGCCCTGTCCCCAAGGCTGTGACCCTGCCCTGTCCCTGCTCTGTCCCCAGGGCTGACGCGGCGTTTGGTGGCTGTCTGCTCCCTCTGCCGGTGACGGCCAGGAGGTTGAGCCAGTGTCTGAGCCACCCCAGCAGAGCTGGCATCACATCACCGTGATGTTCAACCTTATTTTTCCCCCCAGCCAAATCCATCCCTGGAAAATTACACACAAACCAGCAGCACTTTCCTCCAGAGTTTTCCTGGTCCTCTCACGCTGCCAAGAGACTTAGAACTCCAACACTTGGCTGTAGTTCTCTGCTGCTGCTGTGGCTGAGATACACAAGGACTGTATCTACAGCTACTGAAAATGGCCTCCCCCTTACCTCTCCAACACCTGGAGCACGGTGAGACTCTCCTTCTGCACAGACACTATTTTGGTGGGGGTCATTCCGAGAGGCCTGGCCTGCTGCTCCTTGGGGTCAGTTCGGGGATCAACCGCATCCCACACCACCACCTTCCCGGCCGAGGTGCCCGTCAGAGCTTGGGAGTTGTTAAAATGGAAAACTGACTGGCTGAAGCGTCCCACCACACTCCTGAAGGTCTGCAGGGAGAGCAGCGAGGCCATGTGTTCATCCTGAGTGCTGGCTCTGCCCTCCCAAGCAGGGATGTTTCTGCTTGGTTCTCACGTGACATTCCCTCCCTGTCCCACGGCAGGACCACCAGAGACAACAGCCTCAGGAGAAGATGCACTGGGGCATCCTGACCTCAGCTCAGGCAACCCTGGCTTGTACCTTCAAGAGACTGAGGGGGACAGGTTGGGGACACAGCCACTGGTTTTGGTTAGAGAGATAGGAAGGGGCAGGGCTGCTGCCAGGAGGAAAGCCAAGAGGGGGACATGCTGTGGTCCCCCTGTGCTCACCTTGATGCTCAGGAATGGTGTTCCATACTGCAAACCAGCATCACCCTGGGGAAAGCAGAAAAAACATCCAGGACAAGGATCTGGGAGCTGTGCTCTGCAGTGCCAGTGTGTCCCCTCTCCATCATCTGGGCACTGGCACCACACCGTGGTGACCAAAGTAGGGCTCCTGAGGCAGAAAGGCTCTCCAAGACCTTCCAGAGAGCACAAAATCACCCTTTCCCTCTACCTGCTCCTCTTCCAAAAGCTGCTGACTGGCACGAGGCACATGAGGGCCCACAGGAAAGCAGGAGTGGGAGAGGAGGAGAGCATCCCTGCCACAGCTTGGACTGACCCAGTGTGGGAATAGAGGGAGGGCTACGCTCTGCCAAGACCACCCTGGAGTCTAGAGAGGGCAGGGAGTGGGGAGGGCAAGGTGGGTGAGGGCAGGGGCAGATCTGCAAACCAAAGTGTGACTCCAGTCATGGGCAGACACATGACCCCACAGCCTGTGCTGCCTCTCCAGCATGTTCCCCTCCTGCCACCTCCTTTCTGGCACCAGAAACACAACTGTCCACGTCCCTACTTACCCACAGGTAAAATATCACCTGGGTTTTGCTGTTGCTGACAAACTCATGGGGATCTTGAGGGTTAAAAATTACATAATTCTGAAATTGAAAGGTGAGAATTGCATCAGCACCAAGTTGAGTGATGCTTTCTGCTTATTCTTCCATGCAAAACATCTGCTTTTATCCAAAACCCACTTCTCCACTGCACTGAACTGAAAACAGAGGGCAGATTCCCTGTGGTCCCTACTCTGGGAGCAGGGACACCCCCCTTGGGGTTCCCTCTGCACCCCATGTCTGTCAGGCATCAGAGGAGCAGGGATGACCCCCTGGGATGCTCCATGGCATTGGGTTACCCCAGGGATGGGGTGTGATCCTCCCTCCCATCTCCAGCCAGTATCTAGCAGCAGCCCCATACTGGATGGGAGCAGGGGGATGGGGCTGCCCAGTTCTGACCAGTTCTGCCCAGTCCAGCCCAGTCCAGCCTCTCTGCCCCCCTCAGCTGTGGTCACTCACCTGATACCCAAACTCAGGCCTCAGCTCTGTGCTGCACAGGGGTTTCTCGGTGGGCAAAGTCCACCTCCAAACACAAACTCTCTGGGAGAGAAGGGAAGAAAAGCCCAAATAACACATGTGGTTTTCTGGGAGCTTGGGAGAGCCAGGTGAAACCCATTCCCCCCCTGCTGCAGGGGATGGTGGGGCATAAGGGACTGGAGCAGGGTAAAACCCAGCATGGCCTGGAAGCAGAGAGATTAATTTCAGGAAATAATACTGGAAATTGCTTCAATGAAAGTGATGAAGTCAGAGGCTTTTATCCCAAATTAAGATGCATTTTCTCAACTCTGCAGCATTGACTTTAATGAAATCCAGGTCTGTCTTCTAATGGCTCAGCAAAATCAAGCCATCACTCTGCAAACCCACTTCCCTTCTCTTCTGCTCTCCCCATCTGAATTCCCCCCTCCCCTGTGCTGCACTGGGAAAAACTTCCAGGGCTCTATCCTGGAAAGCCGTGGAAAAGGAGATATTCTCTTTACCTGCACTGTGCCAGCACTAATGGTCACCAGATACTTTGCATCCCGGGAAATGGCGATAGCACAGACCCCGTCCTCCGGGTGGCTCTCGAAGATGGTGCGCACCGGTACCCTACGGAGCAAACACCTCCTGGGGCTCAGGCAGCACAGGGGTTCAAGGCAATCACTTGGCAAAATCTGTGGCACTGCCCACCCTGGTCTGCGTGGAGGAAGGGATGTAGGAAGGGAGGGAAGGAGAGAGGGAGGGAGGGAGGCTACAAACACCAGTGCTGCTGTGGGAGCAGCCGGCACCGTGGCTGGTCCTCAGTGTCCCCTCCCTCCCTTCCTCCCAAGTAAATGGTGCTGGGAAACAACTCACCAGGGATTTTTAAAGAAAATACTACAGCTTGGAGATGTGATATACTTAGTCTGGGGGAGTTCTGCCCCATCTCATTGTCCTGTGGGTGTGGGTGATACGAGGACAATGAAGTTTGGTTTTGGCTCCTTTGCTGCTTTAGTCCGTCCCTGTGTTCTCCCATTTCACCCTCAGCTGAGGCTGGAGTCAGTCCTAAGTGATTTACTAGACATAGGGGGTTTCCAAAGAGGAGGTTCCTGGGAGCTTACCCAGAGAAGGAGTCCCACACAATGATCAGAGCGTCTGGCCCTCGGTCAGCAGTCGCAACCCAGCGCTTGTCCTCACTCACACACAGACAAGAAATGACATTTGCATGGCCCTGGGAAAGGGAAGCAGCAAATAGCCTTGGAGGCTCCAGACCTGGGGCTGTTTAAAGCATCCCTCAAGCTGCTCTGCTCATGAGATCACTGCTGCAACCCCACACAAAGCGCCTTCCACCACCACGTGTTGGGAACTGCGACAAGTGTGCGAGCAAACCAACGCACCCCTTTGCACGGGCAAAGTTGTAGGTGACCCCTGAGCACTGGGAGAAGAGCCAGAGGGAAGGAGTCTGGGAAAAGGGGAGGAGGAGGAAGGAGACGCATGGGTTGCGTGCCAAACCTGCAGGTGGTACTGCCTGTTCCCCAGGACATCGTGGATGACCACTGTGTGGGAGGAGACGTACAGGAGCACCCGGTCCTCCCCGTCCATCAGGCCGTGCACAGCCAGGCGGCTGTTGTAGCCAAACACCCAGGACAGGTTCTACAGGGAAGAGGGAGATCCTGGCTCTTAGCAGACAGGACAGAAAAGCCACACAAGGTCTGTGGGGTGATAGAAGAGAGCGAGGTGGGAGCATGGGGTGCCATGTGGACCATCACAGTGGCACTGTACCCGTTGGTACTCACAAGAGAGTGAGGGCTGCTCTCCCTGTCCTTCTGGAATAACATCCCTGGCTTGGCTCCCCACACCAAGCTGGAAGAGCCATCATATTGGTCGTCCTTACTGCTCCTCTGCTGTGTGTCCTGCCTCCTGCAGCCTGAGTGAGGGCTGGAAATGGCCCCCTTGGGCTCAGAGAGTACTGGGGGTGGTTTAGGGGGCCCAGCACCCTTCAGGCATGATGTCCTAGCAATGTCTTCTCCCAGGGCATCCTGGCTCCCAGCCCAGGTGCTGGGCAGGGTGTCTAGGATCCCCATCCCTGAAGGAGTTGATGGGGGACACAATGGTTCATCTGCTCCAGCATCCTCTGGTGGTCCTTCCTTCTCCTTGGCAGCAGCAAGGGGATCCTTGGAAAGGGAGAGAGATTTTGGTGGGTGCTGGCTCCTGGGCTGATCTGGGTGGGGACTGCCCTGCAGGTAGTGAGAATGAACCCCAGCACGTCTCAGATCCAACCTACATCACTCTCAGGATAGGCTCCAATACAAAGATATTCCTTTGCTCCTGTCCAAATTGCCTATGGATTTGCACCAGGGGGAAAAAAATTCCATGGAAAGTTTCCCAACAGCTGCTGCTTCTCCTGCACATCTAACCTTGGCCTCTTTGCACCTCCTCAGCATCCTGCACCTCACATCAGAACCTCCTCAGCTCCTATCACCAGGGCTAAGATGCCCAGGTTTTCCTCCAAAACTAACCTGTAGGTCCTGTGAACTCTGTCCTTTCTGATGTCCACCCCCTGACTATCCCCCAGCAATGGTTATTCATTGCTGCAACAGGGCACACGGTCATGGGTTGGAGAGGGAGCAATGGCAAACTGAGGTTAAAACCAGGGGAATTGGGTCCTGGAGCTGGGGCAGAGCTGACTGTGAAGGGCTCTGCAGCAATCCCAGCCCTGCTGCCCGGCCAGCAGACAGAAAGGGAGGCTAAAAATCCCACCACCACTTTCTTCAGCCCCTCACCAGCCTGTCAGTAAATGTATTAACCAGCCCTGGGGACAGAGCTGGCAGCAGCCCCGGTCAGGGGTTCCCCAGTTTAACCACTGACCACTTAATCTTGTTCTTGGGATCCACACCAGCTTTTGCCTCTCCCCGCTGGACTACTGGACTTCCCGTAGCAATCTCTCCTGCAAGGTCTAAGCCCCTCTTGGACAGTTCCTGGTTTGAGGGAGGTGAGATAACATTTCATCCAGCACAGGGAGGAGCCGGGTTCCTTCCCGCTCAGGTGGCTCCAGGCAGCTCAGGTGTCAGCAAATATTGACGCTGGACTGAGACTACACAGAGATGCTGCCTCTGCCAAGACCCCAGACCCCCTCCCCTGGGATGTCTTGGGGTAAACCACACCTGGGAGACACTATCCTGGATCCAGGGGCTCTGTTTCCATCAGATTTTGCCCCAGATCTTGTCTCGGGCAGGACTTGCCACGGGACCACCCTCACCTGCTCACCCATCTCCTGAGCCATCTGTCTGTCCTGGGACATCTTGAGCTCGCTGTTTATTCCTGGTCTTCCCTCAGTGGGCTCCTCTGGTGTAATTTCACACGAACCATCCACCCACACCTGCACTCTCCTTCCAGGGAGCTGGGCCGTGGAGATGCTCTGGAATACTCTCTCCCACACACACTTCCCCAGGGTCTGGCTGTACCACAGCGACCTGGAACTGGGCACAGCAGGAGGAAAGGGCACCTGTGAAGATGGGAAACAGGTCCCAGAGCCCCTTTTCAGCTCCAGTAACACTCCCCCTGAGCACAAGCAAGCCCAGCACAGCCCCAGTTATTCCAGCTGAGCTCCGGCTCCCTCCCCACCCACCCCCCGCGCCGGGCGTGGACCCCTTGGATGGGTTTTATCCCAGTCCCCATAAGCAGCCGGGCAGCTCCTGGGCGGCAGCTGCTTCATCTCCGGCTTCACGGGTCTGGATTCGAGCCAACACCAAAACCTCGTGCGCGGAAAACTTTCACGGGAGCGGGAAGGGGCCCTGGGAAAACCGTCCCCCGGCCCCGGCGGGCAGGACGGGAGCTCGGGAACAGCCGCTCGGGGACCCCGCGGGTGTCACCGGGGTCACACAGAGCCGTTCCCAAGCCCCCTCCAGGCCTGGAGACTCCCCCGGGACCCCCTCGCTCACCGACACACCGATCCCCGCGTCCCTCGGGCTCCGAGCGCCGTTCCCAGGCAACGGCCGCACCGGCGGCACCGGCTGCGCCAGCGGCTCTCCGGGAGACAACCGGGGAGAGGCTGGAAGGGGAGACGAGGGGGGACCCTCCTCACCCCCACCGGCTGCAGGGAGAGGCGGCACTGACCCCCCAAGGCAGGGACCTGGAGGGGGGACACACTGGGCCCTTCGCCCTGCCCGAGCCTAAATCCCGCTCGTGGCTGTGACAAAGCCCCTCTTGGCATCGCTGGGAGCCTTTTGGGACCAAACTCTCGCCCTGAGGGATCTTCACCCAATAACCTCCCAGGGAGTTGTAGGCAGCTGTGCTCCCGTGGCTCCCCTGAGCAGGAAAAGTGGAGTCAAAGCAAGAAAAATCATCCCCCATCCCCTGCCAGGTCCTCCCACCACCCCCAGCTCTCTGCCAGGATGGCACTTGCACAGGGGACCCTGATCCCAGGGATCCCTCCACGCTCTGGCCTCACCCCTGCAGATAATCAGCTCCAAGCGCTCCCAGCTGTTGACCCAGCCTTGCTGTTGAGCTCAAATAACAATTTCTAAACTTAAAATGTTTCTCCTTCTGCGCAGCAAGAGCCTGGCACCCTGCTGGGAGCAGAAAGGACTTTTGTTATCAGCTCCCACTATCTCCCCGAACTGGAGAGACTGCTCCAACCCCTCCTCTGTGGCACAATCAGGGAGTTCTGCAGCTTCAGGAGCAGGATTTGGTCCCTACCAAAGCAGATTTTGGTCCTTACCCCTCCCTGGGTGGGGGGAGAGTGGGATGCACCACCATAACTCCCCATCTCTTGCCACGTGCAAGGAGGCAGCGTGTTCAGTGCATCAGGCTTGTTCAGACATGCTGCTTTTGTTCTCACCTCTAATAGTCCACTTTTTCAGTCTGTTTCTGGTCTGTTAATCATTACAAAATTGCTCCTTACGAGTGATATGTTACTTATGCCAAAACTTGTTTATGAAGCACTATTGCAGGGTGTGCAGCTTACCTGGGCTCTGCAAGGTCAGGAGTCATTACTCTGTGTCTGTGCAGGTTTGCATTTAACCCACTCAACTCTGCCCCAAATAATAACTTTTACGAGAATAGAAAGAGGCAACACTCAGCTTTATTGTTTTGGGAGAGTATTTTGAAGTTCAACTGGAAACAAGCTTAAAACAAACCACTCATCCCCGAAATCCCCTCAAACCTGTTGTGGGTTAGGAATAGTATTCCCCAATTTAGTGTTCCCACTGAAAACACCCCAGCACCACTCCCTCACTCTCCCCCACCATGGATGGAGAGGAGAATGGGAGGCACAAAAAGGTAACCCCTGTCCTGGCTGGAACCAGGACAACACTCCAAAGCCAACTCCCACAAATAAATACAAAAAAATTTTAAAAAAAGAGAGAGAGAAGCCAGATTAGGAGCACTTTTATCATAACAACATGAACTACTAAAAGTAAACAAAAGTAGAATTATAACCCCTATTCCTTATCTCACTGACTGAAAATAACTGGGCATTCCAAAACTCTTTTCAGCATGTTCAGTGACTTTAAAAATTGTGGTAATGTGGGGAAGATAAAGTATCAACCTTGCGTATTTCTTACCTGTCATCTACTATGAGAGGCATCAAAAAGTGCTCTAGAAGTTTTGAGCAGGTATTACAAGATATTCAGTGAGGAATTTTAGAGGGGGAAAAAGGGAATGTTCCATTATCACCAAATAAGAGCATTTCAAGCTCTTCAGAGCCTATATCTGAGAGGTTTGGGTCTCTCCAGGGCCTTATTCTAAAGTGCTACAACACAGAAGAGGTGAGAATCCACATCTTGCAACTCCACACTGACAACCAGTGCAATTCTGAATTGCAGGCAGGCCCTGCTCTGCCAGAACCCCTTCAGGCTCTGGGACCAGAGGTCACAGCAACAACACGTGGGGAAGTTCTCAAACCAGATCAGAGTCCAGAAAGCAGGCACAAGCTTCAGTTTTATTGTTTTCTAAGTGATGGTCATCTTTGCAGGGGAATGATATTGCAGCTGAAAAAGAAAAGAACAGAAGGAAACATGAAAATCTCAGTTCTCCAACAAGAGATCCAACATGGGACGAATCAGACCCTCCACAACCCTCCTCCATTGGTTTCCTCTACCAGACAAACCAGCCCCTGAGACCTTCCTCTCATGGAACTTGACTCCCTGTATTCCTGTGCAAAGACTCCAGCTCCCAGTCTGTCACAGGGCGCAGTGACACACTGAGGGCAGAGCCCAGAGCTGGCCCTGCTCAGGAAATGTGTTCTGAGCTGCTGAAAGCCTCATCCCCTCTAGGAAGTGAAACATCAGCTCACCCCAGGAGGCCCTTCCCAGCCCAGCGCTTCGGAGTCAACCCCACGTGCACCCTCCTGCCACCACGGATCACAGTCACACTCAGGGGTCTCTGAAAGGGAGGAAAAAAATAAAAATTAAAAGAAATATTTCAATTTTCCATCAGCAAGTCAGCTCTCTTCTTCCTTCTTTTCCTGAAGCACCAGAACATTAAGCCCAGGGAGCTGTTCTGCAGCAGCACCCATTCCTATTCCTATGGCTGTAACTGGAAGAAGAGAGTGTTTTGCATGGAGACATCTCCAGGAAATTTCTCACTTCCACTATAAAGCACTTAAGGCTGTGGCAGATTCTTTGGCCAGTCCACAAGGGTGGCACAGCAATGCTGGCTGCTGCTGCAGGGACAACACGATGCCCACAGCCAAGAGCACACACCTCTCAGCCCTCCCATCCATCAGCAATTAGCTCAATGCTGTGAGAGAACAAGGCTACAACAGCACAGACTGAATCTTGACACTCTTTCTGACAGAGAAATGATAACTCCAGAGATCCAAGTTCCATAGAAAAAGCTGTGGCTGACAGAGCCAGGCAGAGAATGCAGTCACGGCAGAAATGAGCTCACCCCCTCGCTGTGCTGCACCACTGTGGCAACGTTCTGCAGGGTCTGGAAGTTGTTTGCGTTGACAGAACCAAACTCCACAATCTCGTCATCAACCTGAAGTCCCTGGACAGAAAAAGAGAGATGAGCATCTGCATTCTCCAAAGACAGGTAATAACACAGGGAGTAACACAGGAGCATCACCTGCATCCAGCACAGAGTGGTGTTATGACCCTTCTTACCACTCAGGCAGCTGAACTACATCACACCCTCTCCATGTCTATAGGAGGAGGGAAGTACTCATTCCTCTGTCCTATTTTATGGGAAAAAAATACCAAGGCTAGAATGGTCAGTAAGGTGTGGGATGAGCTGTCTGGTGCCAAGATACAGCTGAGACAGCACCCACCTCATTCCTGTACAGCAACTGCTCTATGCACAGGACACCCCAGTGTGACCAAACAAAGGGGGGACACCCTAATCAACCCTACAGCTTATTCCCACTTACTAACAAGAGACAGACCAAGCCATCAGCTATGTTTTCTCTCTGGCTCCACACAAAGCCTTCCCCAGGAGCTGTCCCCAACCTACCGAGACACTGGCAGGGGATCCCGGGGTCACAGCGTTCACTTTGGCAAAGGGCTGTGGCAGGCTCTGGTTCTGGCTCATGGCCTCTGCCAAGGCCTCTGCCTCATCCCGGGCTTGCTTCTCCTTCTCCCGGGCGTGCAGCTGGTGCAGAGCCTCCTCCACCTGCTTCATCAAGGCCTTGTGATCGTTCTGCAGACCTGTGGGTGACACCGTGAGCACAAGGGGAGCACGAGCAGGTTCCACCCAAGGCCTCTCAGTCCCTCTGCAGAACCGTGTTCTGGGTGTCTCTGAGCTCAGCAAGAACCTCTGCTGGTCCTGGTCTATCTGCTGGGGCCTCCTGCCAGCCTGGCAGATGTTTATCAGCCAAAATCAGACGCTGAGAAAACCACCATACAAATTTTGGTAAACACATGAGGGTAGCAGGGCCAGGAGTGCCACAATCCCTGATAACACAGTGAAAGCTGAAGTTCTCTTTCCGTCACCTACTGTTACACACGGAGAGCAAAACCCCTCCCCAAAGACAGGGCATAGGGACGAAACAAACGCCAGGCTGTTTCTCTACCCAAAGTTTATCCTACAAACACCCCAGAAAAGCTTTGCTGTATTGCACTGATCCCAAAGGGCTTCACAGCACAGGCAGAATTTTGATGCTGCTGCCGCAGCAACACGTGGACAAAAGCGTTTACTGACTCAGCCGATCCGCCAGCTCCGAGCACTGAGCAGAACCGCTGGGAGAGAGGCTCAGCGCAGGTAATTTTGAGGAATTACAAGGAAGAGGCTGCAGATGGAGGGGTTTGAGAGAATTAAAGGGTGTCGCCGCCGTTCCAGGGTGTTTACCCAGCGCAGGGGCCGGCACAGAGCAGGGGCCCTCCCGGGTTCCCGCACACACCCCGGGTTCCCGCAC